CTCTGCTCCAGGGATGCCATCGCCAAGGTCCTGTACGCGCTGCTGTTTGGCTGGCTCATCGCCAGGGTCAACGCGCTGGTATCCCCGCAGCAGGACGCGCTGTCCATCGCCATCCTGGACATCTATGGCTTCGAGGTGGGGCCCCGGGGGCGCTCTCGCACCATCATCTGTTCAGGGCCCTCTCCTATGATTATCTCCCTCCACTCGCCCACAAGCACTCCCTGGGGGCTCCGGGCGCCAGGCCCTGTGGGCAGCACCAGGGACCCCAGAAAGAACCAGACCTGGGCCCTGACCTTGGGGCGCTTCCAGGAGGGACTGGGTGGGATGAGGATGAACACTGACGAACACACGCGGTCAGAGCTGTAACAGAGGCAGCCTGGCGCTGGGGGAGCCTGGAGCAGAACCCTAGCTGGGCAGGCATCAGGTAAGGTTTCCTGGAGGCGGAGGAGACGTCCTGAGCTAATTCCTTAAAAACCAGCCAAGGCATTTGAGGTGGAGGGAACAGCCTATGCGGAGGCTCAGAGGTGTGGGCCGTGGTGTCTGGGGAGGTGGAAGTCATCTGGGCGGTTAGGGTGGGGGGCATGGAGAGAGACAGGCAAAATCAGAATAACAGAAGTGGCAGCTGAGGCTCCTGTGGCACCTGTTGTGTGCCAGCTGATGTTCTAAGCACTTTGCTTATTAGTTCGCTTAATCCTTACAACCACCCTGTGAGGTGGGCACTGTCGTTATCCCCATTTTACAGGTGGGGAAACTCAGGCATGGGGGGCTTAGAAAGTGGCAGAGCCAGGACTGGAACGTAGGCAGAAGGTTCCAGAGCCTGGGGCTTCAGCCGCTGCATGTGCCACCTTGCATGGGACCGTCAGGTTCTCACCTGTGTGCAGTCGGAGCCACCGAGGGTTCTGGGCAGGGGGTCTGTGGGCGGGGCTCCAGTTCGCTGAAACTGTGGAAGGCAGGGATGAGTCTGCACGGGGCGGTGGGCAGGCCCTGGGCGGGACGCACGGGCTGCGGGCCACGGAGGGGCAGGGCCCAGCCTCACCACACGCCCGGCAGGACCTGAGCTTCAACAGCTTCGAGCAGCTGTGCATCAACTACGCGAACGAGAGCCTCCAGTACCTCTTTAACAAGATCGTCTTCCAGGAGGAGCAGGTGGGAGTCCTCCGTCGCTCTCTGTCCCGCCCCCGCTGGCCGCTGGGCCTCCTTGGAGGCGGATGGGCTGTGCTGGGAACCGGCACACGCGAAAGCCTGTGTTATGGAGGGGCAGGTGCGGGGGTGCTGAGTGCAGAGGAGAGCCCCTTGGGGGGTCCCCCTCACCCTCGGCAGGGCTGTTCCAGGCCGGGGGAGGAGCAGGGCCCGGAGGAGGTGGTTCGTGCGGCCCCGCTGGGGAGTGAGCTCCCTGGGCTGGGAGGTGTGCACGCAGAGGTGCCCTGGCCAGGCCCCCGGATGGCGTCCGCCTGAGGGACGGGCTGGGAGGGGCCCGGGGCTCGGAGGCAGAGGCCCGCCGCCTGCAGGAGGAGTACATCCGCGAGCAGATGGACTGGCAGGAGATCACCTTCGCCGACAATCAGCCCTGCATCAGCCTCATCTCGCTGAAGCCCTACGGCATCCTGCGCATCCTCGACGACCAGTGCTGTTTCCCCCAGGTGAGCCTGCTCAGGATGCTGGACGTCTCTGAGCCTCGTGTCCTGCATTCCTCCCTGCTCTGGCGTGGGGTCGGAAGCTCAGGACTCTCAACCTGCCATTCAAACCTGGGGTGACTGAGGCTGGATGGGGGCTCGGGACGAGGGGCTGCACCAGTCTGGGAAGTCATAGAAGGTTTCCTGGAGGAGGTGACCTTGTGCTTGGGCCTCAGATTCCGACTGGAAAACACAGGGGTGGGATGGGTGCTCTGGGCAGTGGGACTAGAGCGTGCAGAGACAGCTGAGCTGGATGGGGGGCAGCTGGGAGCACACCCGTCTTCAGGATCCACTTAGGCCACCCCAGCCCGAGCAGTGGGCAGCCAGAGGCAGCGGGGACTTGTTCCCCCTCCCCGGTGCTCGCTGGGGAACCAGTCAGGGCTGGAGAATTTGCCACTAGGCGAGGAATGGGATGCCGGGCCCCTGTCCACCCGCTGACCGCCGCCTACCCCCAGGCCACAGACCACACGTTTCTGCAGAAGTGCCATTACCACCACGGCGCCAACCCACTCTACTCCAAACCCAAGATGCCTCTGCCCGAGTTCACCATCAAGCACTACGCAGGCAAAGTCACCTACCAGGTGAGACCCAGAGCCATGGCCTCTGGTGCCCTTCCCCGCCGCTGGGGACACTGGCACCTGTTCCAGTTTTGGCCCTGCTGGTCCTGAGCTGTGTGACCTTGGCCAAGTCACTTTACCTCTCTGAGCCTCAGTTTCCTTCTCTGGAAAGTGGGGATGATAATAGTGCCCGTCTCACGGGGCGAGTGAGAGAAGTCCAGGGCCAGGGCGGGTGTGATGAGAAGGAGCCCCCGTCAGCGGTCACTGTCACCACTGTCACCTCAGCTCATTCCTGCCCTGGAGCCGTCTCAGGCCAGGATTTTGAGCCTGTCCCCGCTGGGCCTCGTTTTCCTCATCCGCAGAATGGGCACAGGACAGTGTCCTCACTGAGGATGGGGCCAAGACGTGGACTGGTCACATGAGGCTGTGACTACTGCCCCTGCCCTGGGGGTGGAGAGGCTAGTGGGGCAGGAGCAGGGGGAGAGGGGAGGAGGGGAGGAGGCAGGCTGGCGCGCCCCGGGGCCGCGTGGGCTGGAAGTGGGGTCCGGCCCAAGCTGCCCCGCCCCCCCTCCAGGTGCACAAGTTTCTGGACAAGAACCACGACCAGGTGCGCCAGGACGTGCTGGAGCTGTTCGTGCGGAGCCGGACCCGGGTGGGCACCCCGCCTCGCCTCGCCGCCCCCCTGAGCGCGCAGCCCACCACTGGGCCCCTCTCCCAGCCCGCCCCTCCCTGAGTGGCCCTTCCATCCCCACACCTTCTCGGCCTCCACTTCCCCCTCCCCCTGAGGACACTGCCAGAGCTCACGGCCAGGTCTGTAACAGGCCACCTCAGGGGCCAGGCACGGAGTCAGTGCCTGTGTGTTCCCCAGCCACGGGCGGCCCCCTTGGAAGGTGCTGAGCGCCCTCACTTGAGAGGTATGCCAGCTGGGAGGACACGGCCTCACAGAGAGGACAGAGGGCCAGCGGGTCACTTTTCTGACCCCTCTGGTGCAGGGACTGACGCCTTTTGTTCTTTCCCTGTGTCTCTCTTGCTCTCTCTCTCTCTCTCTCTCTCTCTCTCTCTCTCTCTCTCTCTCTCTCTCTCTCTCTCTCTCGTTTCTGCCTCTGGGTCCCTCCCCATCCCTGTCTCCCGTCTCCCGCGCCTTGACTGCTGACTGGCCCAGGTGGTGGCACACCTCTTCTCCAGCCATGCCCCGCAGGCTGCCCCTCAGCGCCTGGGCAGGAGCGGCTCCGCCACCCGGCTCTACAAGGCGCACACGGTGGCCGCTAAGTTCCAGCAGTCGCTCCTGGATCTGGTGGAAAAGATGGAGAGGTGGGCGTGGCAGGGGCACAGCGCCCAGCCTCATCTCTGACCCACCCTGTGACCCTCAGGGGTCAGCACCCTCCTTCTCTGGGGCCTCACACTGCCCTCCTCCCGCCCCTGCCCAGGTGTAACCCCTTGTTCGTCAGGTGCCTGAAGCCCAACCACAAGAAGGTATGTGATGGCTGAGGTCCCTGGGGGAGCCAGGTCCTCTCCCCATGCTGTGTGACCTTGGGTGAGTGGCTTTGCCTCTCTGGCCCTCCATCTGTTGGGCCAATGTGCAGGCTCCCTATCTGAGCCTTCCCCCAGGAGCCAGGCCTCTTTGAGCCAGATGTGGTGATGGCCCAGCTACGCTATTCGGGGGTGCTGGAGACTGTGCGGATCCGCAAGGAGGGCTTTCCGGTGCGGCTGCCCTTCCAGGCGTTCATCGACAGGTACCTCGGTCAGGGTGGTTCTGAGCTCCAGAGACCCCTTCCCGGCCCACCGTGGCCCTAGGATTACGCAGCCCGGGATGAATAGGGCTTGCCACGCACACTTGCTCAGATTGTGCAGTACCCAAGACCAGCACATGCCAGCTGTTATATGGAACATGTATTTACTGTTTTGCATTTTTTCATAGTTTTATTATGTGTGTGTTGATTCTAAAGAGTAGTAATTTTAAGAGTTATTTTGACAAGTTTCCAGCAGATGGCGGTAAATCACCTTATTCTACTGAAACAATTTATAAGTTTTCGGGTTGGTCAGTATTTTTTTTTTTTTTTTAATTTTTATAATTTTTGAGTTTACTTTTTTTTTTTTTGCGGTACGCGGGCCTCTCACTGCTGTGGCCTTTCCCGCTGCGGAGCACAGGCTCTGGACGCGCAGGCTCAGCGGCCATGGCTCACGGGCCCAGCCGCTCTGCGGCCTGTGGGATCTTCCCGGACCGGGACACGAACCCGTGTCCC